AAAAAAAAAAAAAAAAAAAAAAAACAACTAAATTTTTGTTTATAGAATACGTTTCGGGTTGTCGTAAACATTTTTTTATTATTGGGGGGGGGGGGCGGGGGGGGGAGAGAGAGAGTGAGCTCTAATTTGTGCATTCCTTTGTGGATAAAAAGTATAATCAAAACACAAAATTCATTCTCTGTGTAGCAACTAATAATGCAACATCCAATTATGTAAAAGCTAATTATCTTAGAATTAATTATGTAACAACTAATTATGAAAAAGCTAATTATCTTAGAATTAATTATGTACCAACTAATTATGAAAAAACCGTTTGTGTAGCAACCAGTTATGTAAAAGCCAATTATCTTACAATTAATTATGTAACAACTAATTATGTAAAAAAACGTTTATGTAACAACCGTTTATGTAACACCTAATTATGTAACAACCGTTTACGTAACAACCAATTATGTAGCAACTACTTATGTAGCAGCCAATGTAACTAAAGCTGCGAGATGTTCAATAGCGTGCGAAATAAAAGTCTCGATAGCAGCGATAAAGGGGGGTTCTCAATCAAACAACCCCAAAAAACAAAGCTCTTCGTATACATCTTTTATTGTACATCATTTATTTGCATAGTTTATTGCATTTATGTAAATGGACGTGATTCATCATTTATTAAGAGGCGTTTATGGGTGGACTTCTGGCGAAAACTCGTTTCATTGCTCTCTCAGTTTCGAATTAAAAATACTTTTAAAATTGTACTGCACCTCCAGATACGTCAAAAAAAAATAAATAAAATACACATCACAAATCATCAGCTGCACATGTAATCTCCACACCAAAACAAAGCACCCATTGAACAAATCATTAACGCCCCCCCCCTCCCAAACCCCCCACCCCCACCCAGTAAGAAATAGATTTTTTGAGAGTTCGGAGTGGAACTGAAAATTTGATAGAGTGTGGTTTCATCCCTTACGTGCCAAGTTTCAGCTCGATAGGTTGACGGAAAGTAGGTCCGTTTGTCTTCCGAAGATTTTGGCCACACATAGACACATGAAAGAAAGTGAAGTTAATATAAGCGCATTTGGTGCATAATATATTCTTTTGTTTTATGGAAATGGTGTAATAAAAATTTGGTGTAAAGGTGGTGGGACATTAGAATATTAATATAGTTCAGGGGCGGTGGCGTACTAGGGGAGGGGGGTAGCACTAATTTGGAAAATTATAAAGGTCGTTACTTGAATGCAGGCTTTGTCAAAGTAGCTTTAGTAGATGGGAAGTTCACGCACCGAGGCCGGACATCGCTTGGGCTGGCGACCGGTTAGTCACTAACAAGTTCATTGCAAAAGCTTACTCAAACGAGACACGTTTGTGATGCAGATTGGTCAAGTGTTCCAAGAGGGGAGTGGGTGGCGAGGGGGGCGGGCAAGGGAAGAAAGGGGGGGGGGTCATCGGCATAGGGGTGAGATAAAACGTACTACCCTTTTGGCACTAAATTTAATCTTTATTTTTTTTTCGCTTCATAACCGTTAACCGTTAACATGGTCTTCCGTGAGGTTGTGAATAAAAATTTAAAAAAAGGGGCAGCACTCTAATTTGGATTCATTTATTCGATTTTCCCCCCTGGTTTAATCTGGTCAATTTATACAGAAGCTTTAAAATAACCAATAGAAAAATGACATGAGTTTTTGTCAGCGTTGCTACTGAGCCATTCGCTTGCTATGATTATGAAGGAGTGTCCAGGGTCTTACAAAATAAGATGAAGATAGTACAAACCCCTTTACCGGGCACAGCGGCAGAAAACGTCTTTACTACTGACCGGGCAAAACGTCCAAAAGCGTCCGTGACGACATAAGAGTTGTAAACTCGTGAACTCCGAGTCTTTGCGAGACTTCCTATTGTTTACATCCGGGTTTTCCGATATCTGGATAGAGTGGGCGCCAGTTACAAGGATTTAAACTATTTTTGTGTGTGTAGTTTTAGGGGTTTAAAATTTTTTTTTTCGAAATGGATTTTGCCGATTGTTTGCCGATTTTTTGCCGATTATTCAAGTGATGGCGGAGATTTCGCTGGATTCAATTGAAGTGACATTGAAGTGCACGAATTGACTGTAAACTGGAACTAGATATTAATATTATTAGTAATATTCGTGAAAAGTGTTGAATTTGATCAACTTCGAATTTGTGGCAGTGTTTGTCAATAGTGAATAGATGACTGACAATCACAAACAATATGTTGATTTTTGCAAATATTTGTGTTCATATGAGGATTAATGGCAACGTGTGAGTACAATTATCAATCTGCATTCATTTTCCTTGATTTTGCTTTTTATTTCACTAAAATTTGTTGACTAACACCCTATGACCTTAGATTTGATTTTTTTTGTCACTAACGTCACCCTAAAACTAAATCTTACTAAAAACCGGAGATATGGTGCCCTAAAAACCGGAAAAATGGTGCCCGTTCAGGAGATGCAAGAGTAAGCACCTCTGCCCCGTAAACGGATGCACTAATAGATATCAGAAAATTGTAAGTGTGGTTTGCTTGTAGTAGGATAAATACCTAAACACAACCATCAAATATATTGTAAGGAAACCTTGTTGGCTCTCTGCTAACCTTCATCTATATCTGGTATTCACTAAGGAAGCAACTCGGGCGATAACATTTGATGATTAAAATCTTGTTCTTTCATTGGGCGGATACTTCGCTTAAACTTTCTCTCATCTCACAACTCTGACTGCCCTCTACTCCTACCGTCGGAGCTCTCCCTGACTGTCCGCTTCCCTGTCTGGCTGAGTTCCCAGTCCTGTCCAAGAGGTCTCTATTTATAATTCCCAGCCCATAGAGTTTCTTCCCCAGTCTGTAATCTGACGCGCCCGCCCCTTTGATCAGTCGGCCTGTCGCATCCAGGTCCGAACTCTCCACAATATATATATATATATATATATATATATACATATATATATATATACATATATAAATGTAAATTTAATTTATAAATTGTAAATATATGCATTTTAATTTATTTTTTTTGTTGTACTGGTGAGAGCATCTGCCGAAACGTTTACAATTTGTATTCTTGAATGATCATCATTGAAGCTCAACCTGTATGGTTTTATTTACACAATTTGTTTCTCGCGTGTTAAATCTACTCGAAGGCTCCATCGCAGTCCAACACTCTTATCTTATAAAAATAATTATTAGTTCATTTGAAAAGTTGTTGCAGGTCGCGTGTCGCCGGTAACCCCCCCCCCCCCCC